ACTCTCAAAGAGTGGAAACAAAGTAGACAAAAACTATGAACAAAGTATGAAATCAAAATCACACGTAAACGAGGCAAAAACAAGACTGTGGACAAAGTATCAAAATAATACTCACTTGAGTGAACAAAATGACAAGGAGGATCAAAAGCAAAATCACTCTTACGAGGTTAAACTAGGGATCAGGCAAGGTAAGGTACAAGGACAAGTACAAGGTAATGCTCAGTAAGGTCATTGATACCAAGACAAATGACTAAACACACTGGCACCAGACAAGGAGAGACTATTTGAACACAAGAGGGAAAGGGAACCCTAGGTGTACACAATAGATGATGATCAGGGAAGACAAGCAGACATGTGAGACACAGGAGAATGCAAGAGACTTGAAACAAGGGTGTGTACCTTAGAAAATAAAACAGGAAATGACAAGACAACCATGGAGACGGGACAAAACACCAAAACTTCCCCCAGACACACATATATTTGTGTGTGTGTGTGTGTGCATACATACAAACATCGCTAAAAATTTGTTGTCGCAACATAAACTAATAATAAACAAAAACTTGCCCTTAACAGTTAAAGCTTCTCTATTGCTTGATCATGTAACTTTGCATCACTAAACATAAGACAGATCTGGCCATACCCAACCCAACGTGACGCCCAGCTCCTGGTGCAGTCTCGCACCATGACAGTTACAATGCTATCCTGATTGCTTTCCCAGCCCTTACTGTGAAATCTCTACAAATTATCCAGAATTCAGCAGTGCGTCTGATCTTCATTAGCCCAAAAAGTCTGACGTGACCCCCTCTATTCATTGAGCTTCACAGGCTACCCCCAGCCACCTGCATCAAATTCAGTTCAACAACGTTAGTCCACAAAGTGTTTAAGGGTACAGCTCACATCTACTTGAATACAATCACAAAGGCTTATGTCAGAACCTCGGTCACTCTAGTAATCACAGGATTGTACCAAGCGCTAAGAGAACAAAGCATTCCTGTCTTAAAAATAAAATATATCTTGAAGATCAAGCTCCTCAGAGTATATCATCCTCTAATTCTTGCTCAGTACCTCTCTATATTTAAGAGTAGGCTTAAGACTTTCCGTTATGATAGAGCTTACAGTTAGGGTAAGTCCACCCCTAGTTGTGCTGCTATAGGCCTAGCCCGCCGGGGGATGCATCATGATGCACCGAGCTGCCCTCTCCTTTCTCTCTCCCTCCCAGTGCAACCTCATTCCATTAACAATGTTACTAACTGGACTCTCTCTTTTCCCTGTAGTCGTGTGCTTTCTCGTCCCCCTTCTCTCTACTCTCTCCTCCTATCACTTTCTGCAGATATTCCTGGCTCTGGAGCTGTGGGGTCTGGATCTGTGGTTGGGAGTCTCCTCCTGTCACTTCCTGCAGGTGTTCCTAGAGCTGCGGAGTCTTGATCTGTGGTTGGGAGTTTCCTGCTGCCCCCGTGTTCCTGCTCCGCTACTACTCTGCATAGTGTTATTGCTGTCATAACTTCTACCATTATCATTAGTATTAATATCATTGCCATTTTTCATCTAGTCTACGTGTTGCTGTGTTTGCTGCCTCTCTCTGCTCCCTCTGTCCTTCTCTCGCCCTCTCTCTCTTGCCCTCTCTTTCCCTCACCCCCAACCGGCCGAGGCAGATGGCCGCCCACCCTGAGCCATGGTTCTTCTCAAGGTTTCTGCCTGTCAAAAGGAAGTTTTACCTTGCCTGTGTCGCCTAGTGCTTGCTCATGGTGGGAATTGTTGGGTTTCCGTAATTAACTTCAGAGGAGTAGGGTCTGACCTGCTCTGTTTGGAAAGTGCTGTGAGACAACTGTTCTTGTGATGTGGCGCTATATAAATAAAATTGACTCTGATTCTCCACTTTGCCACATCCAAGATGGGGGCGACGTTGACGTACGATTTAGCCCTCAATGCGGCGTCTATGAGTATACTTAGCAGAGTTGCTAGCGGTTTAACTTGTAACACAGTGTCTATTTTCAAAAGTTTTGTCTCAGTAGAGCTATACAAAATGTTAGTGCCATCCTTCTGAATTGCATCTCTACTTTACAATACACTCTTTATATGGCCTTGGGGTGGAGATTTCTCTTTAGTCAGGTAGGATTTTGTGGGCACTCCTCTTGTGACCCTGACGGTACACACACACACAAACTTGGATGGTCCTAGATGATTATTTTAAATATTCTAAGCAGTTTGAGCATTCCCGTTTGAGTATTCATACTCTCATGAACTGATATTTGCACACAGCCTTCGTCATACTGACAGAGCACCCTTTATTTGACCTGTATCCTGAGCCTGTTTGCTCTTTGTTTCTTTCAGGAGGACATGCCATGGTTACAAAGGTGATGGTGCTATTTGATGCTTGAAAATATGACTCTTGCTGCAAAGTATGCAATTACTACTTATTTTCTTGAATGTAATGATTCTATGAGCACCAAACCTGTTCCTAATACTCTGCTGGTTTTATTTGACAGTGCTGATGACACTACTTTGGCATCTAATGTCTTGCTAGCCGAAGAAGAAGGTATGATGGAATTTAAAAAAACAATTGTAGATCCAATCTATAAACCAAATATTCTATAATTTTACTATACTCCTCACAAGGTCTCTTCTTTCTTTCTTATGACAATTCAACGTATGGCTAACATACATCCAGAGGAATTCCTTGAACAGGTATTCATGTGCTGGGGGTTAAGAAGGTTTTAGTGGTTGATACTGCACTTTTAGCAGCTTACAGTGAGTCTGGTGTGTATGCACGCACGTGATATAGGGTATCATGATACAATGTGTGGATGTTGAAAGAGTTGTTTTCCTCAGGCCATCCAAACACACAGCATTATTTTGACCTCATTGGTTTTAACAGTTCGTTATTAGGATGGGAATGTAAATGTGATATAAAATGTACTTCTGTCTTTCTCTCAGACCACCATGGAAGAATAAATGCAGGACAACCTGGATACAGGACAACATGTCTGTTTTCTGTGGATATGTCGAACTGCCCAACATTTTGTCCATGACAGCGGAGGACTGACGGGCATTTCAGAACATCACCAGTGATGACAGCTGTGATTTAAGAAAAATCCTCGTTTTTTAATTCCAGTACCAAGAAGACTACACAGTTTTTCTTGAATCTTGTTTGGCTGTGTCTGCAATGTTCCACACCACTACCCTTTCCCCTTAGCCAGAGGAAGGGCATCCCCCCTGTCCACCCCTAGCCCACACACCACCCTTTCACTATCATTTTAATATAAAATCTGTATATAAATATTATTATTATTATTATTGTTTCTACAGTCAATACATTTTACACAATGAAAATAAACCATCAAACTGCAAAGTTTGCCCTTCTTATTTTTACTTTCACTTCGCCAAACTGCCAGCGGGTTGGGCCGAGTTTCTCCTATTGGTGATGTAATCAAAATGGCCGACTTGGATGTGGGTGGAGTTGGATATCCATACTTGGTTTCCTACAGTCTGCAGCAAGACGTACTTGTCCACTGCTGATATGGGGGCCATGTCTATAGTTATATGGAAAGCCACGGCTTTGGTATTATAATGCCACTTTTCAGTTGTTCTTTTGGAAGGCACAGCATGGGTGATTGATGCTTGCAGCAGGGTTTGTTCAGAGCAGAAGGTTGGGGAAGCACTGCTTGTAGTACCTTTCATGGCGCTGTTGCAAATGGTCGAGGAGATTTGTGGTGCTCGAGCCTTTAGTTGAAACATGTTTCCACATTCTTTACAGAAAACCTGTTGCTGCTGGTCACTTGCTGCTTTAAAGCTGAACCATCTCCAAATTATCGAGCCGTTGTTCAGGAGCAGAAAGATTGTGTGTCTGTCCAGGGACACAAAAAGAGGAGAAATGGGTGCGGACATGCGGTCCCTGTTTAGTCATTTGAACACAAAATGAACTATATTGATACAAGCAATATGCCCCGTGTCTTATATCTCGTTTAGAAATGAATCGATACATACTCAAATACCAACATATCGCGCAATCCTATGTTGAAACACTTGACCTTAGGCAAATGTTAGTACACCATATCCAAATGGACTCAAAGGAAACTCTGAATCAGAAAAATATCAGAACCACAAGATATTTACCATGAAGATGGCAGAACAGACTCCAATAGAAATGTTTATTTGGCATTTATTGAAGAAATAATGCCACAAAGTGTTTAAGGGTACAACTCCCATCTACTTGAATACAATTACAAGGGCTTATGTCACAACGTCGGTCACTCCAGTAATCACAGGATTGTCATCTAGCAGTGCTTACACAAAGCTTAAGACAATCCAGACTCTATTGATGTGTCGTTCCATGATGGTGCCCTACCAAGCGCTATGAGATCAGAGCATTCCTGACTTAAATATATAAAATATCTTGAAGAACAAGCTCTTCAGGGTATCTCTTCCTCTAATTCTTGCCCAGTACCTCCCACCCCCCTCTACTACCCTTTCTGTACTTCCCTCGAGCTCTACACTGTCCCCACAATTGCCTCTAACAGTCTGACAAGTGATTTCTTCTATTTAGCTTATTGTTAGGTTGATGCATACTGTAATGTCTTTCATCCCTGCTGCTACCAGACTGTACAACTCTGCACTTTAACAACTGCTGTGCAATTGTGTTATATTTATTGACCTGTGTAATATGTGTACTGTGTGAGCCATCAATGATTGTATATATTTCAATCACCCAAATCTTTACGCTGTGTTGCTTCCTTGTATATTTGCTTGCTCTTGCTGTACTTAATGCACCTTTTCCTCCTTTTAAATTCTAACCGTTGTGTGACCAGTGAATTTCTCCACTGTGAGATCAATAAAGCTCTTATCTTATCTTATGTTGTATCTGCATTGTAAATCACTTTTTATACATGTCCTTTAATGCATTAATACATTATAAAATCTGTTATATGATTTTAGCATTGGCTGTTTTGTAGAACTGGACCAACTGAGTGTTACCATTTTCTAATAAAAAATACATTTTGTACTTATACAAAAACATTGTCCCTCAAATATAAAACCTTTAATTGTAAAGTTCAGTTAATGAATAAACATGTCAACAAAATTTTTTAAGAGGCCTTTATTTGAAAGTATTATCACAGACATAAAACCTACCAAAATTCAAAGAAATCCGAACTGTGAATTACTTGTTTGGACATAATACCCCAATAGTCTAGACAATTTCTGTTTTAATTCTTGTGAAACAAATAAGCAGTTTAAGCATTTAAAAGATAAGTCAAGCATTTTGGTGTTATACAAATTTCAGCTTGCAAGTAAAGCAGTACACAAAAATGTAATTACTACATGAACAGCATTTTGCATACAATAAGAAAATGAACATCCTTTAGTATATCATTTTTTTTCTTTTAAAATTAAAGGTCAGAGAAGAGACTGCCTCATGAAATAATTAAATGATGTTGATTGAAGAGTTGATCAACAGATACAGATGTAGCGGTTACTTCTGAGAACTAAAAAGAGAAAAAAAATGTATAAGCAGCACAACAAATCACCATCTACTGTCACAATTATCTAGTACTACTTTCAGGTGGACAGTGAAATACATTATCTGCTTGTAAACTAACATTTTTTGTTGACTTTAATGGAAAATGGAATGAGTTTAATTAACGAAGAAGAAAAAGAAATGTGGTCCAACTCCCACTGTAATTTGTACCGCAGTACTAAAAGGAAAACTACTATACAAAAAAAAAGTTCAGCAGTTTAATATTTTTCTTTTTAAAAATGAGTGGTGCATCAGTACAATAATAAAAGATGGGAGGGCCTTCCAAAAAAGCCAGTCTGACCACACCAAAAGCCGGTCAGTTTGGTTCTTGAACATTGACACATGAGCAGTAGTCCTACCCATCCAATTTTCCTTATATTTGTCTTTTATGATATTAGTCAGTATGAAACACATGAAAAAAATAAAATGTCTAAAAAGTGTCACATTAATGAGAATGTAAGGACAGCAATTGAAGGACAATACTGTCTTCTTTCGTAACAGATGGTTCTGTGCCACATGATACACACACACAAAAAACAATACTTTAGTAGCATAAATAAAACATAACCACATCTTATCATGACAACTCTTTCGCTACTTTAATTTGATTTCACCAAATTAAAAACTTTCCTTTGCAATACCGTTTGATAGTTCATGGAGTATTTTAAGTTGGATCAGATATATATGTGAACTTACCAAGGAAGGCCTCCATGACAGTTACATATTTGGCTCTGTAAGAAAGAAAAAGCAAAACAATACATTTCATAACTCAAATTTGAGCATCAGTATTTGCATATATCATTTAATTGTATCTCATTTGGTATTATGTTTTGCATTATATCATTTCATAACTTTGTGTTCAATTCAAATTATTGTAATTTCCTGGGTGTAAGGTCTTATTGCCATCTACAATAGAAATAACAGTGCAATATCATTATCTAATAAAAGTCACAAAAATGTATACCCCATTAAAAAACAAAAGAAAATATAATTTGTGTTTTTGCACATTAAATATATAAGCATAACCCTGACGACAAACACTTGTCAACTGGAAAAGTCCAGATTTTTTTGTGTAAATCTTGATTAAAAACATATTACTAAATACAAAATTGAATTATTGTACCCAAATATTTTGAGTGACTACCACTCACCCCAAGCAAATTTTTTCGTGGTCTCCCCATGAGTAACCTTGCAACTGTACTTATGTCCATCCACAGGTGTAAAGGGCACACTCTTGGTCAGATGAAAGTGCCAGTCCTGCTTGAAGGCTAGGTCGGTCTGCTTGGAATTAGGGAGTTCAACTCCATCCTCCAGGATCTCAATAGTAATGTCTGGGGGATGGAAGCCACTCACATGGCAGATAAGGATGTTTTCCTTTCCAAACTCTCCTGGGTTACGGCTGTACACCTGAACCTTGGGTGGAGCTAAAATAAATAAAAGGCAATAAAGAAAAAAATGTTGATTACTTGAATAAGAGATTGTATTTCTTTACTTTACATACATTAGGCAAGAAACATAAGCATTCGAGTTCATAATAGCTTTACATCTGTCAAAAGTGTTTAAAAAAAATCAGAGGAGCACAGATTGAACTAAATGTCTCTTGGCCCTTGTTCAAGCACTGTCGCCAACTCCTGATTCAGAACAGCAGTTATTGGCTGTCCTAAAAGTCGCCAGATGATGTCATTACCTAATTTACATATTAGATCTTGTAATTGGATCCCAGCTGTAGTAGAAGGGAATTTCAATGTTGGAAAGACAAACTCTGAGGGGATTAAAACGAAATATTTTTAAAACTACAATTTCCCTTTAGGAAATAATCTAATATCTTTGGTACTTCGCCTGAAATCATACCACTATTTAGTTAGAATGAACCATTATCAATAAAGACATCCAATTATGTATATCAGTTATATATTACTAATTAGTAGGCATATTTTGCTCTTGAGTTAAAACACACAGTTGTGTGTTTTACCCATTTTGCCTCAAGTTAAAGTATGTGCAATGTGGTTTTGCTGCAGGTAATGATAAAAGCCTACCTAAAATCGAAACTAAATAAAGACAAAGGGGAATTCCTCCATGGATAATACAGAAACTCGCATATTTGTTATTTCAATTTAACTTATATACTCAAACCTCTTATCTAAGATTCGCTTGTGTTGAATCACTGTTTATCGACCTAAATCCACTTTGTAAATCCGAAATTTGGTCGATTGTTCTTCAATCAAAAACAGTTTATTTAAAATAATGTCAACCGTTTAAAACATAACTGTATTGTTTGACTCGAATAGATATACCAATTACTGTGCAGGATGAACGACATTATTTTTCACAAAGCCTCAGATATTCTTAATTTAAGAGATCGTGATGACAGTAACCCTCGATTAAATACATAAATTACTTACATTCTTTGGAGTCCACTGAGATGTAGAGCGCAATCAGAGCTGAAAAAAAGAGAATCACCTTCATGGTTAATCCAATTCTGTTAAATTCACCAAAATTTGAATGCAAGATCAGGCAGCTAATGTGAACGCTCTGCTACGTCCGTTAACATAAAGTGAAACTACCCGGCAGATCACATTATTTAACAGCACGAGGACCGCCCGCCGCACGAAACTAACCAATGACAATTTTGTATCATGGTGTTACGAGGTAAACTACGAACAGATATGTTTGGTCATACAGGGGCAAACGTTGTTATGGAAAGCCAGACGATCTCTGGTTACCACTTTAAAAAGGTTATTGTAATGGTAAATCAGGAAGGAAGCTATACTCATGTGGGAACTTTGCTCCGTGAGTGATTTAATCTGGAAAGTACCAAAGAAAAGCACTCTCTAGAAAGATAAGGGACTTTGGTTAAGTGAAGACTTAACACAGATGGAAACATTTACTGTTTTAAAGAAGTATGCAGAGAGCATTTGAGGGGTTTATTTTTTTTTTCCAAGGGAAATTGCTGGAAAACAGCCTAAAAATGTAGAGGCTGCATGATTTGCCAATCATGTCTTAAAAACTTGGTTTCTGTTTGAAGATATAAACCATCCAATGGAAGAGCATGGACTTTTTTCTTTTTTCATTTTCTTGTAAAAACGTTTGTATTACCATTAAGTGCTTTACCTGTCTTTAATAATGCATGGCCTGCTTAGGTTTATACTGGAACGAGGGCACTCATTGCCTACCAGTTCTCATCTTTTTATTAGAATATAAACAGAAAACAAAAAAGGGCCATTCCACACCTCTTTTGAACCCATGTAAACCTACATTTGGTGTAACTAGTACAGGTTTTACATTAAATGTAGATGACAGATAATAAAATTTGTACAACTTATATTTGAGGAGTGATCATGCAAAACAGCCAACTTAGCTGTATTTCATGTATACTTATTTGTATGAAAGCATCAATAGCAAGTCAAATCTGGACTGGTCTAGATTGACGAAAATAACCCCAAATTTTTTGTCTTTTTTGGCAGTGAATGTGGCACTCCCAAAAAAGTTAATGCAAGTCACTTTTAGGAAACACAGAAGATTCTTCATATTAATAATAATAATAATATATATGTTTCTTTCTCCCCTTTTCTCTAAAAACTGGCACATTTTCTCACACCTTTCTTTTATCTTTCTTTCATCTCTCACTTCAGTCCATTTAATTTTTCTCCTACCACCCAGTACCTTTATTGCCACCTCACATTCAGAATTTAAATTTTAGAGGATTTCTGTGAGTATGGAAAATGTAGTGCTAATAAATTTCATGTAATCTGAACAATGTTTCCTAAAACATCTGCCATTATTTCAAATCCTGATCTTACTTTCTTGCTCCTGCCTCTCACAGTCATCTGACTTAATCTATTACCTTACATAACTTTCTTGATTTAATTGTTTGAATATTATTCCTGCATAAATACACATAATCTCCTCTGTAGGATAATACAGCCACGATGACCAATCATTGTATTGTGTTTTAAATGACATAAGGAACATTCACCAGCATGTCAAAAGCAAAAATAAAATGAATAAAAAAGAGGGTTAATTTGAACCAAAAAGGAGAGACTTTTTTCCACCACTTGCGGTTGCCACTTCCAGGAATTGAGCTCGACTCTGCAGGAAAAAGGAGAAAAAATTACAATACTCCAAATGACCCTTAAGGGACTCCGTTGCTCGTAGATTTCATGTTGAAAAAAAGAACAACCGGAAGTTGATTCTCATTGCTGAACCATCGCCGCGTGCAGTGTACGACTATTGAGTGTATGAATTCAACATGGCTGCGATTGGAATTCACTTTGGCTATACATGTGCCTGTGTTGCCATATATAAGGTGAGTTCCAATTTGTTAAATCTAAGCGAATATTTAAACGTGGTACCTCACCTTTTTCACAGTCGTGAATTTTATCCGAAAAGCCACAAAGTGAGTTTCGACATTAGCCTGGTTCTTATCCACACGAAGGAACTAATAATAATGATAATGCTATTATGCTATTGTGGCCCTGCGATGGACTGGCGGACTGTCCAGGGTGTACCCTGCCTTTCGCCTGTTTACGGCTGGGATAGGCTCCAGTTCCCCCCGCGACCCCATCAGGGAATAAGGGGTATTGGAAATGGATGGATGGATTATAATGCTGATACTGTTATATAAATACAAATGCCATGTGAGGTATTGTACGATATGAACACTAAAGTAACTCGAGAAAATATAACATAGTCTTCTTGAGTTGTTAACTGAAAGAACATTTAGGGATTTGGCCTTGTTACATATGTTATAGAAGTGTGTTTTACGCATAAGATTCATTAGATCCTTAACTATGCTTCACCATGTCCTCTGTGGTCTAACATTATGCATTCAGGATAACAATGTAAATCCAGCGTGACCTGGCAGGTGAATTGGTGAATCAAAGTCATTCTACATATGTGATATAACCAGGCGTGACACATTATGTCAAGCTTTAAATAGAATAAATATAATCCATATACTGTATAAGCTCTAATTTAGTATTTTGATCTAATTTGTCAGAGATGATGGAATAAAGCATCAATATGTAATTATTAAAGAAGGAAGGGTACTTTGTTATTCATAGATAAAATATAGTTCAAATTCTAAAATGTTTGTTATCTTAGTGCCTGCTCAAGTCTCAAGGGACAGTCAACGGAAGTTATATGCTGTAGGTCTGTTAATCAAAGTTGTGAACTCTGGGCTGGGGCTGGTGCTGTAGGGTACAGGGTTGGGATTGGTGAGGGGCCAGACGGAGAGACTGTGGTATACATTATATTAACTTTTTCTTTGGGTTTTTTCGGTTGTAATTTTAGGTCAGAAACAAACGGGAAACAGAAAGGTTACTATAAGGGCAATAAGAGGGAGAAGAGAGGAATAAATACGTTTTACTTCTTTGTACCGCTTTCAGACTACATTAATTTAATGTCATATCTGAGGGTACATATACTTAAATCTATTCAATTGGATATTTTTCTTATAGATTCTATTTATGTTCAAATGTATACATAGATAATGGGGTATAGAGTTAATATGGTTGAATATGCATTTGTTGTTTGCAATTGTTTTATTGTTTTGAAGCTAATGTTCACAATCACCTTGGTGGTAATTGTCTGAACTAAATTGAATTAATTTAGTTATTTATTCATGATATAATGTACTAGTATTCTTTCAAGTACTTTACAGTTAATTGATTGTGATATTTAATCTTTCTGCATATTTTGTGCTTATTATACTAATTTACTTTTTAATTCCAGGCATTATTACACTGTTTAAGGCCACACAGTTGTACTTTATGAGCAAATCCAAAAACATGTTAAGTATTATTTATTAACAATCTTGCATATTGCATAACTCTACAAGAAGTAACCAACATAAAAATATTTGTGTAATTTACAGGATGGTCGGGCTGAGGTGGTGGCTAATGATGCAGGAGACCGTGTGACCCCAGCTGTAGTGGGCTACAGAGACACTGAGCAGGTAAAATTGATTAATTTCTCATTCATCCATTTTCTACACTGCTTAACCCTATAATGCCATACATTTCATATTTGATATACAGTAGATCCTCTACTTACGATTGCTTAAACATACAAATTTTCCAACATCCGTAGTGAAATTCTATAAAATATTCGACTCGACACCCTTAGTAAATTGCCAATGTCGAAGTCATATAAAAAAATATATATAAAAATGTTTTATGAGAATAAATAAGCTAAGTTAGTTTAAAGTTCACATAGTGAAAGTTAAGGTAAGTTACGGTACGTACTATATCTCATTCACCACCTCTACCTCCGAAACCGACCATCTCCTCCGTCTCCTGCATCGCCAAGCTTACACCTCCGTTTGCCAATAAGTGGCAATAAAAAATCTCTTTTATTGATTATTTCTTTATAATTTATTTATTTTTACATCTCGCTTATGTTATTTTTGTTTTATTGCTACGGTAAAGAGGGTCCGTCGGATAGTCGAGCCTCGGATCGAGGAGGAGCAGTGTGGTTTTCGTCCTGGCCGTGGAACGCTGGACCAGCTCTATACCCTCAGCGGGGTCCTGGAGGGTGCATGGGAGTTTGCGCAACCAGTCCACATGTGTTTTGTGGACTTGGAGAAGGCGTTCGACCATGTCCCTCGGGGTATCCTGTGGGGGGTACTCCGGGAGTATGGGGTACCTGGCCCTTTGTTACGGGCTGTTCGGTCCCTGTACGACCGGAGTCAGAGTTTGGTTCGCATTGCGGGTAGTAAGTCGGACCCGTTTCCGGTGGGAGTTGGACTCCGCCAAGGTTGCCCTATGTCTCCGGTCCTGTTCATAACTTTTATGGACAGAATTTCTAGGGGCAGCCGAGGTATTGAGGGTGTCAGTTTTGGTGGCCTTAGGATCGCATCTCTGCTTTTTGCAGATGATGGGGTCCTGTTAGCTTCATCAAGTCGGGACCTACAGCTCTAGCTGGAGCGGTTCGCAGCCGAGTGCGAAGCGGCTGGGATGAGAATCAGTGCCTCCAAGTCCGAGACCATGGTCTCTCACCGGAAAAGGGTAGAGTGCCTTCTCTGGGTCGGAGCGGACGTCCTTCCCCAAGTGGAGGAGTTCAAGTATCTTGGGGTCTTGTTCGCGAATGGGTGTAGGGAGCGTGAGATCGATAGGCGGATCGGTGCGGCGTCTGCAGTAATGCGGGAGCTGTACCGGTCTGTCGTGATGAAGAGAGTCGTGTAGAATTTATCGGTCGATCTACGTCCCCACCCTCGTCTATGGCCACGAACTTTGGGTAGTGACCGAAAGAACGAGATTGCGGATACAAGCGGCAGAAATGAGTTTCCTCCGCAGGGTGGCTGGGCTCTCCCTTAGAGATTCTCCTCCGCTTATCCGGGGTCGGGTCGCGGGGGCAGCAGCCGAAGCAGGGAGACCCAGGCTTCCCTCTCCCCGGCCACTTCCGCCAGCTCCTCCGGGGGGATCCCGAGGCGTTCCCAGGCCAGCCGGGACACATAGTCCCTCCAGTGTGTCCTGGGTCTTCATCTGGGCCTTCTCCCGGTGGGACAAGCCCGGAACACCTCCCCAGGGAGGCGACCAGGAGGCATCCTGATCAGATGCCCGAGCCACCTGAACTGGCTCCTCTCCACGTGGAGGAGTAGCGGCTCTACTCTGAGCCCCTCCCGGATGGCCGAGCTTCTCACCCTAGAATCATGAATATTCAAAAATGATTTCTGTTAATTTTCTTCAGATTTTGTTAAAGGGCCCAAAAAAAAACTTCAAACAAACCAAAAAAAGTTTTTTTTTTTCTTGGATCAGGCTTAAAAGGGGTAATCCCCGTAAATTGGCATAGAGGTACTTTCTACTTTTATTCTCATTATATTTACTAAGACCAAACTTTTTCGTTGCCTAGAAAAATCTAGGTAATACTGGTGGTAGAAAGGTAGGATAAAAAAAGAGGTTAGAATAATTTTTGTCTTTAAATGATGTCCTCATTTTTCAATTGGTTTTCACTCAGATCGATGTACAATGCTTAGGATGCATCAATTGTAACTTTCATAATGAACAGAATGATTTGTTATACCTATTCCGGCTTCCTCCCAACAGCCAAAACCATGCATGTTAGGTTAATTGAATTTAATATCTTTTTTCGATTTCCATTGAAAAATTCTAACCAGATCTTTAAATATCTATCTGGAGTGTTTGCAGAGATCTGTATTTTGGACATTTCGTATTCAAAGAGCTGTGCTGTGTTGTCTCAAATTATTATTATTTTTTTCTATTTTGCAGATTGTTGGTATTGCTGCAAAACAAGGACGAGTTCGCAATGCTGCCAACACAGTTGTTAAAGTGAAACAAGTCCTGGGAAAAAGGTATACAGGCACTTGTAATTTTATCAATTCAAACATAAACGTGATCCAACCAAATCAAGTTAATAAAAAAAAAGCCTCACTTAGAAAGCAAATAGATTATTTGCATTCTGTGGTTTTCCTCGTAATTACTGTGAAACTGGCAGTCCGCAGTAAACAAAGCAAACTTCATTGCTGCTTATTTGACCATTTGTCTTACTGGCTCTCATAAAGAACCGGTTCAAACCACAAAACCCCAGCTGTGCTCCTACAGTGTTCACATTTACCCACACTACACGTTAATCTGGATATATAGGTAGGCCAGACATATTAATATCCAAACTAAAAAAAATACAAAACATCTGCCTCCACTTATGGTCAAATCCCTGGGGTTGTGAAAGATCATCCACCAGGACCACTGGGTGATTTTCTTGATGAACTATATACCATACTGTCCTCCATCCATAATCATGACTGCCAACAAATCATGACTTGTTGGCAAGAAGACTGTCCTGTCCATTCCTGTCCTGTGCTCATTTAAACTACAAAGGGTTTGCAGTCCCCTCACAAGGCTGGAAAAGATTTCAACCTGAACTTACTGTTCACTCCATGGCATGTTTCTGACCAATTCTTTATCAAATTCAATGCGATCTCAGAAAAATGTTTCCCCTCCGATGGTCACAGTCCCAACCCTCCTTAAGTCAGCCAGCATCACCCCAGTGCCCAAGAGGAACACAGTGAGCTGCTTAAATGATTTTTTCCCAACTGCTCGGACTACCATCATCAGAAAATGTTTTGATAGTCTCATCTTCTTACAGACCTTAATCCACTACCAGTTTGCACACAGTAGGTCCACAGGGGATGCCATAAGAACGGCTCTCCACACAGCTCTCACACAACTGGATAGTATCAACACATATAGGAGGATGCCGTTCATAGATTTCAACTCAGTATTGAACACAGTAAGTCCACACACACCTGTGGCCTCTGCAGCTTGCTGTGTACCTGGATATTGGACTTTCTCAGCAACAGACTTCCTGCCTAATCATGCCTGCTTTCCTATCCACCCCAACAAAAGCAAATTAAAGTTGATTTAAACTGTCCCCACCTCCATAAATTGTTCATACTTCATACACTGCTATTGAAGAGGGTCATTGTTCCCATAGCAGTGTCGATAAAAGATATTCTGTTATAGTCTTTTTGCCAGAACCTGGTTGCCAGCCACTTCTCTGTCCTTGTTAGCTCTGCTCTTCCACCCTTCAGCACAATTTCCACACTTAAGGTTAACGATGCTTCTGAACCTCTGTGTTCCACTGTGAGTCTGGATAGTCTGTGTCCTCTATCCACCAAAACAGTTGTATCATCTTAATTTCATCCATGGCTCAACAATACCCAGATCTAACAAGCCTTCAGTCTATATATTCTTTCTCATGTAATGTCACTGCTGCAAAGACAGAGTTTTACAATATCAATATCCAGTCTCTTAAACTGCTCACCACATACAGTCTCTTGGTTTAAATAAAACCTGACTGGCTGATCATTCTGGGTAAAATATCTGTATCTCACTGTCTCAAAAGCGCATAAGGCATCTTTTGTTTGTCATTTACAAAAGTTTGTAGGAAATAATGCCTCATATGGCTTCTGTTATCACTCTTATGCAGATGACACCCAACTCTATCTGTCATTTTCACCTGAGGACTTAGCAGTCTGCGAAAGGCTTCCATTTTAATTTCAATTTGGAAATCATGTATTTATTATAAGGTGATAACATTCTTAATTAGTTGTCTTTTAACTAAAGTCACAATTCCTTGCCCAGTTTTGGTAAATGTAATTAGAAATGGAAATTGAATTTCCATTACAAGAGTTTAAACGTTTAAACGTTCCTACCTCACTGCATAGCAAGAAATACAGTAATTACATAAAGAACTTGAGTTTAGCAGAAGTGAATTCTTGCAACTTTATTGGCAGCTGAATATAATACTGATAGATGAGTTTATAAAAGGTTTTTAATATATTTTTTTCTACCTATTACTATTGGTTAGATTTGATGATCCCGAAGCACAAGCTCATAAAAAGGAGACCAAGTGCCAGGTAAGTGTTGTCCAAATTAATCTTATTTTTAAAATGTCCAAAAATTTTGTTAAAAGCAATATATTCTGTGTTCTTCCCTGCTTGTTTTCTGATTTCCACATATCGCACAGCCCTCCTCATCTGTCTTCAATCATTCTGCTGATTATGACATAGTGGTTGTGTTTTAAAGCCTCATTTTGACACAAAATATTAGAAATGAAAAAAAATGTAAAGCTCTGTGACAAAAGGAAGACAAAAGCTGTTGATTTTTTACACTTGAAAAGTATTACATCAGAGATTTTTTTTACCTGCCAAACATGAAGTAGTTCATGATGATGATATATATCACATTGACAATTTACTGGATAATAATTATTTGCTGTACCATAATGATAAAACTAATTTGAGAAGTAAATATGGTGAGACTGGAGCTTCTGTTTTAGTTATTAAACCTCACTTGACTGAACTGAGAAAATGACTAAATCACTGCAAATTATGATTGTTGTGTAAAGGTTGTCAACAGAGAAGGGAAGCCATTTTATGAGATCACATTCGGAGAGCCACCAGTGTATATGGCACCAGAAGATGTTGCAAAACTGATCTTCATTAAAATGAAAGGTATTCATTACGAAACAAGCACCTTCTTTATAAGGAATAGTAAACTGATTTGTCGTCCCTTTTTTTCCACAGAAACAGCTCAGTCAGCTCTGGGTTCTGATGTTTATGATACTGTCATAACTGTTCCTTTTGAGTTTGCCTATCCACAGAAGCAGGCTCTGAGGTATTTTTTATTTTTATTCATATTGATTCTTGACAGTATTGCTGTTTTTATAACAATATTTATTACACATTTTATCTTATGTGCAGACAGGCAGCTGAAGCTGCAGGGTTTCATGTATTGAGGATGATCCATGAGCCTGCTGCAGCTTTACTGGCCTATAATATTGGACAAGAGTGCTCCTATGGAAAAAGGTATGGTATCGTCCCCAAGAGTTTTCTTCTTTCCACTTGTAGTATTTCTTTATACCAGTAACTTAATATGCTGCTCATGTATATTATGGCAGTAAGTGAGACTTTCACAAAACTGCCTCCATGAAAAAGGGACAACTAGTTTAATCAATGATTAAGATCCATGAGCTGACTTGGAAGTGTTGCTGTTGTTGAGGATCCCATAGTGACGCTGAAGCTGATTGATTACGTGTATCAGTTACCCAAGTTGAGAGACACTTTGGCTCCTGTATCACGATTTCTGTGTTAATAATGGAAAATATGCCTATAGTGGTCAGCTAAACATAGCAAGAGTGTGTTTAAGTTAGTTGCCCTAATCACTTTTTTGTTGCTGTTTATCCTTGGGTATACAGTAAGTATCTCGTATAGTTTCCACAAATATTGGGTATGTTTTGCAGAGTGTGACTGTATTAGTAGTTTTATCTCTCTAGAAACAGAAATTTACTTCAGATAAAGGACTTGCTTAAACATCTAGGAACACCTAGCCAGTTCCTAATATAAGAGCCAACTTATCTTTCCATTTTCTCTGCAGCAGACCATTAAATCTTGTGGCCTTAAAAACCTAGGAAACTGCAAACATCAAACACCAGAGCTTAAACTTTCCTTAAGTCTTGATTAATCTATTTTATCTTGTACCTAGACAACATCGTTCTCAAACTGCGCTAACTGCTTTCTATCATTCAAATCAACCTTGTACTACCTACCTAGGCTTCTGATCTTTCCTTAAATTATTATAATTTCACTTTAATCTATGACAAACTTTCTATCACTTAATTTACCTCCACTTACTGAGATCCTTATATATTTACTAGACTTGATTCTTATACCAGCCCCCTTTAGATTTATATTACAAAGATCTGCTACACAAGTTGTTAAAGAATGTCAATATACGCCAACGGGATTCAACATTGAGTGTTTTCATCAATATGTTTCTCTGAGGCTCTCCAGCTAAATACTAATAGAGGTCATCCCTACCCATAGCAGTTGTTGCCACACAACTGCTTATAACAAGGAGTTATTTAAAATAAAATAATTTCTTGCTTGTTACATACTATGGCAACTATTTAAGGTCCATCAAGAAATAAACTACTTTTCATCTGTTCATTCTTGTCTTTTTGGCAAGACTTTAAATGTGTTTCTTTATGTACACTTTATTTCTTTGAATTATTATTATTTCAATAACATTTTAATGTTAACACTTTTGTTTTTATTAGATATATACATGGGACTTCATGTTTATATTTTTGGTTTCTTTCACAGCCATGTCTTGGTGTACAAGCTGGGCGGAACCTCCCTCAGTGTAACACTCCTGCAGATAAATGGAGGGATATCAAGGGTTCTCAGCACATGCACTGACCACAGCATTGGAGGAGAGAATTTTACACAAGCCTTAGCCCAGCACCTAGCCTCAGAGTTTCAGCGGTAGCCATCATCACTTATGACATTTTAAAAGTTTTTCATACCTTTAAAAAAATGTTAAGACATTCTGATTGAAATTATTCGGTCAAATTTGGAATGTTCTCTCAAATAAGTACAAGTATTTTTTTCTTGCACAAACGAGAACGTAATGAGAACATTTGATGTGAGCATAGAAAATGTTTGGTTGTGTATTTATTTATGAAAATATTTGGTTTGCATTTTTTTAAATGTAATTGCTAGTAGTATTTCATACTTGAATGAGTTCAACCAACATTTATGCTGTATATCTTTGTTCAAGCATGTATTATTTTATTCAGATCACAGCATAATTTATTATGAATTTCTTTACAATCATTCCATTTTTTTCTTAATACTAAGTTTTCTATGCATTTATTAATGGATAATGATAACTATTGAGCCTACAAGTTTATTAAAAACAAAGTGCAGTAGAGTATTTATGAAACAATTGTGATATATATATATATATTGTATAACAAATATACATTGATTTTTATACAGGCACGTGCAACATGCAAAACATTGTTTTTATACAGAATTTATTATTAGTCTTCTCAGAAGTTCTCATGCAGTCTGTCTGTTTGTTTTTTTATAGAACCTATAAGCATGATGTGAGCAGTAATGCTCGAGCAATGCTGAAGCTTATGAATAGTGCAGACATGGCCAAGCACACACTATCCTCCTTGGGATCAGCCAACTGCTTTGTGGATTCGCTGCATGATGGCATTGACTTCGAGTGCAATGTTTCAAGGTAAGTTGTGAAAGGTTGTGAAAAAAGAATCATTCCATCCAGTAATGGTGTGGCTGAATTAATTTGAAGGGCACAGTAACTATGTTACAAAGTATTGGAGGTGCTTTCAGATGGTGTTTCCCAAACGTTTCTGGGGATCCACTTCATTACGTTGAGAAATCCTTGTCTTTCTTTCCTTGTTGCATATAACACACATGGGTTTCTAGGTTTGGTTTTGAACAGTTACATTAATTAAAGAATCCATTATCAGTGATGATCTAGCATCCATCTTCATTATAGTGTCTCTTGTGGGAGGTAGCTTTGCTAACATCCCTTTTTTATTTATTTAAATACGTCTGTCTTTATTTGCCATTTAGGGTTTTATTCATATATTCAATATGGCTTTAATCAGGGGCTGTAGATGCCAGTGTTACAATGCTCTTTTTTTAACTGAGTATTTATTAGATTAATATAAAACATTCTTGTCAACCCACAGCCTCTTTTAATATTCTCTGAATGGCATTTTTTATATGTTGTCAAATGTGATGTAGTCATTGTTACAAAATCAGTGCCTCGGAAACGGGGAGTATTTCTCCAGTATCAAGGCAAATAATTAGAAAAGAAAAGATAGTCTTTAAAAATGAAAATATAATGTTTTAACAGACTTCCAACTTTTTTACCCTAGAGGTCCCCATGTTTGTCCATGCAAATTAAAGTTGTTATATGAGGACCAAAATAAACAAAAAGTGGCTGTAAAAATTATATAATCTCATCTCTTTGATAAAGGATGGTATTTTATGCAAAATAAAATCTTACAAAATGCTATGAATATCCTTGCCTGTGCAAATTGAGAATTGTCTCTACTGGTCATCTTTATTATTAAGCTTGCTGAAATGTGTAGATGTCTGAGGATATATATATATATTATAATATTTATTTGATGTTCCAAACAAATGCTGAATAGACAAGACTGCCAAGCTAAGCGGGACGATCTTTAATTAAAAGCATTTATATTCGTGCTGGAGAAAAGTGGTCGAGTTATGTTTCTAGAGCACAAACCAGCACGATTTTAAGTGACGGGCAGAAAGGTTCTCATGTGAGCCTTTTTTTTGTCTGTTTTTACCAGAGCTCGTTTTGAGCTACTCTGCTCCTCACTCTTCAACAAAAGCATCCAGCCAGTCAAGTCCCTGCTAGATGAAGCAGGGCTCTCTGCTGGGGTCATTGATAAGGTATGTTTTATGAAAATCAAATAATCACATCTTTTTGATTATTCTTTCTTTGCTTGAACATTATGTATAATGTATAGATTTGGATGTGTTTTAGGTTGTTCTATGCGGTGGCTCAGCCCGCATACCTCGTCTACAACATTTGATCCGTGAAATGTTTCCTGAGGTGGAACTACTCAGTTCAGCTCCCCCTGATGAGATTATTGCTTTAGGAGCAGCCATAGAAGCCGGATTACTTGTCGGCAGAGATAGCATAAAATCTGAAGAGGAGTCTTTCACAGTGGATGTTTCTGCTGTTGATATCCTGTTGAAGGTATACATGAAAAAAAAATTAAATTGATGTAAGCACAAATTTATACCTACCAAATATTCTACGTATAAGTGAAATTCAATTTATCCCACATTACTTTCACAGTAGAACTTGATTACGTAAAGCATCAGACATTTAAGACAATGATATATTTGTAACAAAGGACCACCACCAATTATAGCAAGAGATGTAGAAGAGTGTTGTTTTAAGATGATAGTTTAGGCTTGCACCCAAATCACAGCATTATAAGGTCAGTGAGATTTCATGATGTGTTTGTTTTGCAGGAGATAGATGAATCAGGAGCTGAGACATTCACTGTTCTTCTTCCATCTGGCACTCCCCTTCCTGCCCGGAGACATCACCTCCTTTGTGGAGAGGGCAAACTGTCCACCCTCTGTTTAGAGATCTACCAGAGATTTGTTGCAGAGCAGCCAGAAAATCTGGGCAAGGTATAAAAAAAAATCTACTCTTTCTAGTTCTGCATGTAGTATAAGAAACTGTAAATCATCTACATAATCTAATTTCAAAAGACAATTTAGCTGTATTTGACAGACTATTCTAGATTTTACGGATAGTTTCCATAATTTGTCCTGCTAAAACGCATATTCAGTTAGAATTTTAAATGTTCTATTTTATTTGTATGGTTTAATTCTATTTTCATTTCACTCACTCAGTCTTACTTTTAACCTTTTTTTCATTCATTTGGATCAAATTTAGGCCTCTCTAGATTTTACGGTCAAAATCTAGAGAAGAAAAAGCAATTAATTTTAAAAGTTTAAGTTATATACATGTCTCCATGACATTCTAGAGTAACTGTGGTGACAAATGTTATTTTCTGTACAGTACTAAGCCATTAGAATGTGCATTACTTACTTCCAAATTCTACCATAGTCTACAGTCCTCTGATCAGTAAATTCAGCTAATTGTAATATCGTAATTTTTAGATTCCAAATCTTGTCATTCTCTCGCTGTCACATGTCATAACAACAGAGCAATATGACAGAAAAATGGTTAATTCAGTATTCATGAAAAGAGTTCTTTGTCTTGGTTTGGTTAAAATTGTAAGTCATTATTTTATTTGCTAAAAGACCGATGTGACGGGCGGTGACCATGGCATCCTCAGTTGAGCGATTTCACTGTCACTGTCTCTATGTATTTTAGCAGGTGCTTTTATCCAAAGTGACTTTCAAAGTTTACTGCAAACTGGAAGGGGTTGCGGAGTGGGTTAGTGAGGACTTCTTTTGTACTGGGATGATGGGGGTGGCTTTTAGACATGTGACGACAATTGCCTGAGGTTTTTTAAAGTGTCTATGAAGATCTGCGAGTTCCACTGTGCATTCTTCAGCACACAGCCAGTTCAGAAGCTTTTTTGCTTCAGCTGAATGTTCTTCTTAAACCATGCCTACAAAGTATAATCACCTGGTCGCCTGTATGAAGGGGTAACTTTTGTGCAGTTTGTTATTCTGTGCCTCAAATTAAGCAAACTCATTTATCAGAGTTGGAGCTGTCACAGATCTACAGCAGGGGTTTGTATTCTCAGGTTGACCGAAGCCCTTTTCTCTGCTGTCACACAAGAGGACAACTATTCTTATGGAGTACTGCCTCTTAGCCTCCATTTCTTTTCAAACCCCCTCCAAAAAAATGACACTATTTCCAGTAAAGCGTGAAGTGATATTACTATAAGTTATTAGATAAGAATTTATGCTACTCTGTGATGTTTCCTTTGGGCTGTGGTGTATTTCTTTTTCTTGTACCATAACAGAAAATTAAATGTGGTCCTAAATATTATTTAGTTAGTTTTTCAGTTGGTTTAAAAACAATTATTATTTAATTTATTTATTATGTTATTCATATTCATTATACTTCTTATTATTAGCATCCAACATCCATCAACCAATTCCCCCTGCATTCGTAGACTAAAAATGATACATTCCGTCAGCTGAATTTTACATATCTCGATATAATATTGAGTGGAGACAAAATTAAGACAGGAGGATACAGATTACGAAACATCTTTGACTGCTAAATGGAAGATGGTGTTGTGGCCAAGAAGGCCTAACATGAAGGCAAGATAATGGGCAAATCAGGGACCTGACGTCATCCATGGAGTAGTAAGCAATGCTTTGTTGGCTGAAATGTCAACTGTACTGGCAGAATTGAAAAATGAGCTCTAAGAGATCCATACTGCATTTTGATAAAGAAACAGATGAATGAGTTTGTCATTGAAATTAACCAGAAATTACTGGACTCTACAAATTGGGTGGAAGAAGTGACTGGCCAGATAAAGTAGGTTAAGGGCAATATGGTGGAATCAGAACGTTGGGAGATGGGAAGTAAGGAAACGCTTGTGCAGCAAAAGAACCAGTGAGCACTGCAAGACAAAGTGTCTGACTTGAAGGGTGCTGTCCTGGAAGGTCCATATATGGAGGGCTCTTTCAATCAAAATCTCATCAATAACTGGGCCTGGATTGTGTCATCACTCTTGAATGTGCCTCGAGCATTAGGACCAAAGCCCCATGCAAGCAGGTGTTCCAACATACTCAATCATAGTCCATTTCCTCTTGTTATTTGAAAAGGAGGGGATTCTTCTGGCTCCTTGGAAAAAGGGGTGTGCATTAAAAACAAACAAGTGTACATTGATCATGACTATGCACTGGAAGTTAAGAAAAGGAAATCAGAATGTATCCCAATCAAGAAAGCTCTGAAGGAGAATGGGATTTGCTACTGGACCCCACCTTTGCAAGATGGAAATTTTCTATTAATCTGGCAATGCCCTCCTCAACAACACAACTCTAGCCTTCGATTATTTGCATAAACGGGAAATAGTGGCATATATTTAATGGTAAGAGGCAGAATCGATCAAAAAAGATTCCATATCATTAAATATCTAGAGACATTTTTTTTTTTTTAAGTATTTGATTTGATATTCACAGAAACACAGGCCTTAATTGCAGAAGATTTCAACTTTCTCTTAAACCTCTAATTTGAATCAAGTAATGCTTACAGAAGAAGCACCCAAACAGAGAAATGCATAAAAGTAATGTTACCAGATTTAAGACGTATTGATATCTGGGGGATTTAAGTAGGGTCAAGAACTGCAGGATAGGTCAACATTATTCTGGCCACTCTGGAATTGACTTAACATTACATTTAGATGGAAGACAGAAGAAAACCGAACAATTTTCCTGGCAGTTGTAGCAGAAATTTTTGTTGGTCATTGGACAATCCTTTTGCTTTCCCCATGACTCAGAATCGAGAAAGGTCAGTGGATTGATGAAAGATACAAGAGTCCGTCTGGATCCCAGAAATGCACACACTATTTGCAAGCAAACAGATCACACGTGAGGATGGTTACCATTCAAACCTTTTGTGCACGTTATCAGACCAAAATCAAGTATGTAAACCTTTGATTGGGGTCATTTGGATGTTTTTTTATGTCATTATTATTAAAAATGGAATATACAATTGCTTCACTCAACCACTTACCATGAGTTTGTTTATCCTTCATATTCTCAGAAAAAAAGACCAAAAAGCATACATTTTTTAAACCTATGAGCACAACTGTGTAGTGCTAGTGGATCATCTCACTGTACTTCAGAACTATGAGTTTCATGAAAGCCTTTGTCTTTATAGACATTATTACAGTAAATGTGGAAATGTTCTTCCCAATTTTTTGTTCTTATATTCAATGGTAAATATGTTCATGACTTTTTCAATTTTCTTCAAAGGGAATGAATATATTATTTTCAGTTCATATTTCTACTTCTAATTCTATTGCAATATTAACTTGCTTTTATGAATTTTTGTGTACAAAATATAGATCATATTCAGAGACCTGCAGTCCAAAGAGGAAAACCACAACATAGATGCTGTACTAACAATGAAAAGGTATTTTCACTCTCAGAATTATTTCCTGTACCATTTGTTGTGATTAGGTTTTATATGATTATTTATGTTCCAGGGATGGCTGTGTTCATATTTCATGTGTAGAACAGACCCACGGAAAGTCTGAAGCCATCATCATACCAGCGGCATCATAAAGACCACAACCTCTGGAAGAAATCACACACAATTTAAGCATTGTTGTTTTTTTAATGCAATAAAATAAATACTGAAACTGTGTGTCTTGTTGTGGGTTACTATACTGTTGTTAAATTTTGCAGATTGCAAGTAGATGGGTTCCACCCCTTTTTATTTGTTATTTAAGTATGGTGCACAAGTAGGTGATTAGTATGATTTGAGTTCAGACAATTATGACCGTGTGGAATTACTGTAAGGGTGTTCAGGTGTGCTTTATCATCACATTGTGCATTGGAAAGGCCTTGTCTTTCTCATTTTAATAATAATTAAATGATGCTCCAATGGGCATTTCATGTCGTTATTCTACTAACTCTTTACTATTAAAAATATATATTGTTGAAATCATTCATTTATGAATTGCTTAATGTATATTTGTGGGAGCAGAAGAATGAAGACCACTGTAGAAATTGACTACAGTACTGTATGCTTAGATATACAACAGACTGTTAATCACACATTTAGGGTTATTGTGGAAGCAACATACATGGTTTGCTTCATCAGCTCAGTCGTTACCAGCATACAAACATCGAATGCATTATGTAGGTTCTCTGTCATTGAGGGTATGACGATCCTAAAACCTTGTTGAATCTTGTATGTCTCGCCTCCCATTTAAGTTCTGATGAGAATTGAAAAACTTTCAAGATCTAACAAGAACTTCAGTCACCTTCCCTTCCGATCTTAGCATCCATTTTGATTTCTGGAAGTTTCAAGTCTCCATCTCAGCTTTACTAAGACTCCTTTAAGCAAGATTAAAACTTACTAAACCTGTCCTACACGAGGAAAATAAGATGACAAAAAAAAAGATTTGAGGAGGCTGGGGGGTAAAAAGCGCCGGCAGATGCTATGAGTCCCACACATTACACCGTGCGAGCCCAGGATCACCAGTCACGTTAATAAACGTCTGAAGATGAAAAGTGCAATGGGGATTTTGGTGTGAAAAAAAACTTAAAAGCAGAAAAGAAAGCATGGATATATATGAAAAATCCAGAAAGAAATAAAGACACATGATAAAGTTTGATCATACTTTATCATGTGTCCGGACAGGTTTTGTCCGTCCTGTTATCTTTGGGTCAATTTGTCCCATTTCAAAATTAATACAACAGTTGCTTTTTTCATATTGCCAGGGAATTACATGGATGGTTCCCTTCCATTTTGAATGGATTGAAAAAAATATTCTGATTACTGACTAAATATAGTAAAAAAATAATGAATAATTCCTGCAGTTTTTTCTTCCACATATTTTTATTGGAAAAACACATTATAATGCTTACAATCATAGAAATACGATTTACAGTTTCCTTTTTTTTTCTTTTTTCTAAACATATGCATATGCACACGGAAACATATACATGTAGAAAGAATGAAGATAACTACACAAAAACAAAACAAAAACCCATTCTAATAATAATGTAGAAGAAAATAATTAAATTGAATTACAGTGCCGTGTAGTAAACAATGAACAACCCCCCACCCACGCCCCCACTCGGCTCATCTCAACAAACACACATAGTACTGGTTATTTGTTCAATATAAAAAATACAACAAAAACAGACACACATTCAATTGGGTAAAACGTCCAAATTAGTAAAATAAGAAATAAAAGGTTGCCATTTGTGGAAAAATTTGACTGTACATCCTCTCATGTGAATTTAATTTTCTCTAGTTTAAAAAAAAAAACATGACATCTTTGAGCCATAGAGAGACAGAAGGATATCTGGCAGACTTCCAGTTTAACAGTAAGGAACGTCTTGCTAGTAAGGATGTGAAAGCTATAATGTCCTTTTGTGTAGGGTTAAGTGCAATTGAGGGGTTAGGAATTCCAAATATAGCAATCAGAGGACAAGGCTGGAGGTTTACCCCAAGAACAGAGGACATAATAGTAAAATAACCCGCCCAGAAACCTTTCAGATCAGGACAAAGAAAGAAGATGTGGCTAAGGTGACAAGGAGAGCCATGACATTTATCACATTTGTCTTCCACATCTGGATACAGTTCAGATAATCTTGACTTGGAGAAATGTGCTCTGTGTAATACCTTAAATTGAATAAGTCCAAGACGAGCACAGGAGGTGGTAGTTGGTACCCTCTCTATGGCCTGTTTCCAGGACTCTTCATGCAATTGTATTCCCAGTTCCCTTTCCCATGTACACTTAAGTTTAGCATTAGAGTGGTTGCTAAAAGTTAAGATAATATCATACAGCTTTGAAATGATTCCTCTATGATGAGGAACAAAAGAAAGCATGGTTTCCCACTGGTGTTCTGGAGGATGAGAGGGGAAATTAGGGAAACACTTCGCCACAAAATTGCGAGTTTGAAAATAGCGAAACAGGTGAGTAACAAATTGGTAAATTGGTAAAACTATCAAAAAACACCCTCTACATATAAATATCTAAGTTGTGTAATACCCTTGTCATACCACTCTGAAAATGTCGAGTCCGAAAGTGATGGAGGAAATTGATGGTTGTTATTTAAAGGACCCAAGGTAGATGCAGCCACAAATTTAAAGTGCCGTCGAAATTGGTACCAGATTTTGAGAGTATTAAGAACCACTTGATTATCGGTATATAGAGAAGGTTTTGTAGGTAAAGAGGAATAAAGTAAAGCAGGTATAGAGGACCCCCTACAGGATGATAGTTCCAATTTACACCAAGAGGATACAGGAGATTTTAACCAGTAGCAAAGTTTATGGATGTGAGCAGCCCAATAGTAAGTTAGAAAATTGGGTAATGCAAGACCTCCACTAAGTTTGCATCGCTGCAGTAAAGTTTTACGAACCCTAGGTGGTTTCCCACCCCAGATAAAAGAGCAAATTATCTTATCCAGTGAAACAAAAAAATGTTTTGGCAGAAAAAGAGGAACGGACTGGAATAAAAACAAAAACTTTGGTAAAATGTTAATTTTAACAACATTGATCCTGCCAATTAGTGAAAGGGGGAGGTTACCCCATCTCTGAATATCGGATGTAATATTTGAGATAAGGGGAGTGAAATTAGCAGATGCAAGGCTAGACAGCGAACGTGTCACATTAATACCTAAGTATTTAAAGCCTGATGGACTGAATTGAAAAGGTAAATCTGATTGTTGAATATGACATGCTGCAGTATTAATAGGGAAACACTCACTTTTCGCCATATTTAATTTATAACCTGAAAAGGTGCTGAAGTTCTCCAAAATACTTAAGACAGCAGGAATAGAAAATGTAGGATCGGTTATATATAATAACAAATCATCCGCATACAGCGATAATTTATATTCAATTCCATTACGGGTGATTCCTTTAATTAAGGAATAGGATCTTAATGTAATAGACAGAGGCTCGATAGCAATGGCAAAGAGCAAAGGCGATAAAGGACAACCCCGGCGACACCCACGTCCAAGGGCAAAATAATCAGAATAAACATCATTAGTGTGGACACTGGCCTTAGAGGATGAATAAGGAGGCGGATCCAAGAAATAAATTTGTCACCAAAACCGAATTTCTTTAAAACCGCAAACAAATACTCCCACTCTACCCTATTGAATGCCTTTTCGGCATCTAAAGAAATCACAAGTTCAGGAAGTTCAGCCGAATGTTTAGAGTAAATTGTATTGAAAAGTGTACCGGTATTAAAAAACAATTGACGTCCCTTTACAAAACCATTTTGCTCCTCGGATATAATATCAGGAAGCACATTCTCTAAACGGGATGCAACTACTTTAGCCAACACCTTTACATCAGCATTAAGCAGAGATAATGGTCTGTATGAACCCAATGAGGTTGGATCCTTGTCCTTCTTGAGAAGGAGAGCGATAGTGGCTTGTCAGGGTTGGTGGTAATAACCCACTTTCCAAGGATTCATTGAATACTGATAAATTCCTGCTGTTTTAACAAAAGAATTGGGTATGATTTAATATAAATTAGGTCTATTATACATAGACATTTATAGATAGACTCTGTTGCAGCGATACGTCAGCACTTCCGCCATCTTGGATGTGGCAGAATTGCACGTAAACTAATAAAAGAAAACGGAATTAACTTCATAAAGCGCCTTTCTACAACGTGCTTTAAGTTAATGCACCTTATTCACCACAAACATTTACATTTACCTTTTTTGATTAATCGTTTTTATATTCACATTGATTACACACACACATACAGTATATATGTGTATATAGTTAGCCCGATTCTTTAGCTGGAAGCCTGAGACATTTATTGATCACAAGCAAAGTAAATCAGCGCTGGGCTCTCACAAAGTTCCCGGAGGATCTAAGTTGGCAAGAGCCTCGATTTACAGGTGCGATGGGCCCTGAACAGGAGGATGCCTGGACGCAACTGAGTGTTATTGGCCAGTTACCTCTGATATGAACAGGCCAGCCCTAATTCATGCAGATTTTGGTGGAATGTGATAAGAAAGTGTGTGTGTGAATGTTGACCTTGAAGACATGTATCTACTGTAACAAAGAGAGAAGGAAAATCTGTGGGAACATCTGTGAGTTCAACACAAGAGTATAATTCTAAAATGAATAATATAGATAAAAAAAGGAATAAGACAATTAATTCATAACATACTATGCTAAAGTGAATAACTATAGCCCAATTCCAACAATACCCCTTTTGACATGATTTTATTATGTCAATCAAAAAGAAGTGGGAGTGTCAGTCCTGCATTGTGTCTCAGCACCTTGCTGTGGGTGACCCATGCAATGCGTTAAAAACATAACCAGGCAGGAGATATTCTGTATCCCCCTTTTGAGGTACCGTATTTTCCCAACCAAAGAGCGCCCCTCCCCTGAACGGATTAGTCTTTGAAAGGTGCCTGAAGTATAGAAGTAAAAGTCTAGTGGTTCTCCGTTGTCGATATCAGTGTTGCTCTCCATGTCGCTGGTGTCGCTTTCATCCTGGGGTAAAGCTGGGCCTGAAGCTGTGGCGCCCCCTTTACACTGTCTTCCAAGGTCGCAAAGACTTTATTCAATCTCCCAGACTCCCCTTAGTGATGGAGTTGGTTCTCCTGTTGACAGCAGTTATGTGAGCCTCCTTACTGTTCGAAACGAGCAGTGCATTGTCCGGTGACAATTCATCCTGGACGCAATGGGTGGCACCCCATCAACCAGTCTTTCATGGGGAAAGCTTCTGTCCAGATGTGGTGTAGCCCAGGATGCAGATGAAATCAGATGTCAATGCACGAGGCAATGGCGTTCCCCGCAATCGACCCATGTGGCCTTCAGCCAGATGTACATGTAGATACATACGGCCACGCGCTCCCTGAGCATCAAGGCAGACCTCAGGAACAAAATTATAATATGAAGCATAAAAGATAAATGATAAAATCAAGGCATAAAGGATAAAAGTCAAAACAATAAATCATATGACGTCTAACTGAGAACTGATCAAAATAAAACTGATAAATGCTAACATTCAAAATGATAATATGTAGTATCAACGAGAAATTATAAAGCCAAAACTGGTAAATGATATGAGAAATCAAAACTGAAATGATCAAATTGAAACTCTTAATGATAATACTGAAAAAGATACATGATAATATGAAGTATAAATGATAAAACCAAAACTTTGCCTGATTTCTCTGACTTGGTCGCCCCATTGCAAAGACTGATTTTGCAAGCAGTCCACACAATTATGAATCCCCTCTACATTAGTCAGAGCAAACTGAAAAGGTATTCGTAGACATTCAATCTGACTTTTCTTCAACATGCAGCCTGCACATTCCTGACTACAGTAAACCATTTAATCTTGAGGTGGATGAAAAGAACGGCTTTGTGAACACAGTTCTTTTTCAAAAGGGGGAGAGTAGGAAAACTACAAACAGAAAAGTGTTGATGTACATGGCTTCCTTCATCATTTGACCCTCTTTTGTGACGGACAGCGACGATGATTTCAGCTCACAACTGAAAGTACTACTCACTAACTTTTTTTTTTTATCATTACCAGCTGAGAATCAAAAGAAAGTGTGTAACAACAAAATAACAATGTGATGAGTGTCTCTCAACAGGTTACAGCTCAACAACCCATCAAAGCTCAGGAATACATATCTCCTGTAGGAGCATCATTGTTATGTTCCGGGGTTCTGGCTGCGTGGTGGGAGTTCCTGTGCGCCCTTATCACCTTTTACCACCAGAGGGCGTCAGGTTCCGGAGGAGTGCGGTTCTGTATCATCCGCAGCTGTTCACAATCATCTTCATCAGCGGCGCAGACTTAAGGAGTGGGTCGCCAGTCCAGCGTCGCCTGAGTGTTAGCCAGTCACGGTACCTCTCAGCCCCCTGAGCCCGTCTCTGTGTTTTCTTGTTATCCTTGATCATCCTAGTAATTATCCTTGTTTGCTCCGTCGCCTTTTAGGTGATCCCTTGAGAAGATCCCGGGTGATTTCCTGGGTTTTGAACAAGCCTCGTGACGCCGTGGGAAGAACCCACAGGCTGCCCAAACTCACCTCTCCGTTGTTTTGCATTTGTCTCCTGGACTCCACGGCTGGCGGCCGTCCCACTCCTCCGTCTCCCCGTTGCACCCGAGCCTACCTGTCTGCTCCCCGCCGCACTCCTCCGTTGTTCCGGGACCCAACCAAGAACCGAGACCCCGGACATACATTGTTTCCCCTCCACGACTCTGTTCCTCCAGTCCAAGTAAGATCAGCCTGTTCTCCCAGAAGGATACCCTTTCTTCCCACGACCCCTGAACTCACCACTCTGCTCCTTCCCCATAGCAAACCAGTGTTGCCGTCACGGTCGATTTCCCTGGACCAGACCATCCAGATCACTGCCGATATCTGTGTGATCATTATTAAACCATCTAACACTGATCCTACCTCTCCTGTCTCGTGTTCTGCATGTGGGCTTGTAAAAAACTGAACCCATCATGACAATCATATTCTTAAGAAGATAAGGAAGCTTGGTTTGTCCACCACCAGGAGGAAATTAAATCAAGTTGCAAAAGGCCACAATACACATTGAGAAGATAAAAGTTCACAGAAAACAGGACTAAACATCTGGATCCAAACTGTACACGTTTATGATTCTGCAGAAAGACTCATGACTGAGGTTCAGACTGACTAAGAACCTCACCGTCAGTGACTAAAACTGGAAACTTTACCACAGACTGGACAAACACCAAATAAATAAATAAACTGACTTTCTTTTTTTTAAATGACTCCATTCTGGAGACTAGGTTTCAGTACCCGGGTACCTTTATTTTAAAATATTGATCAGTGTTGAATATGTTGTCTTGTAAAAGCACGGTCTTTGTCTATTTTGAATGAATGAGCTATGTCTCCTATGTCTCCGGTTCTGTTCATAACTTTTATGGACAGGATTTCTAGGCGCAGCCGAGGTGTTGAGGGTGTCAGTCTTGGTGGCCTTAGGATTGCATCTCTGCTGTTTGCAGATGATATGGTCCTACAGCTCTCGCTGGAGTGGTTTGCAGCCGAATGTGAAGCGGCTGGGATGAGGATCATTGCCTCCAAGACTGAGACCATGGTCTCTCACCAGAAAAGGATAGAGTGCCTTCTCCGGTTCAGGGAGAGCCGTAGAAGGCGGAGAACTTCTCCTTCCCCAAGTGGAGGAGTTCAAGTATCTCGGGGTCTTGTTCGCGAATGGGGGTAGGGAGCATGAGATCGATAGGCGGATCGGTGCGGCGTCTGCAGTAATGCGGTCTGTCGTGATGAAGAGAGAGCTTAGCTTAAAGGCGAAGCTCTCAATTTATCAGTCGATCTACGTTCCCACCCTCATCTATGGCCACAAACTTTGTGCAGTGACCGAAAGACCGAGATCCCCGATACAAGCGGCCGAAATGAGTTTCCACTGCAGGGTGGCTAGGCTCCCCCTTAGAGAAAGGGTGAGAAGCTCGGCCATCCGTGAGGGGCTCGGAGTAGAGCCGCTGCTCCTCCGCGTTGAGAGGAGCCAGTTGAGGTGGCTCGGGGATCTGATCAGGATGCCTCCTGGTCGACTCCCTGGTGATGTGTTCCGGACACGTCCCACCGGGAGAAGGCCCAGAGGAAGACCCAGGACACGCTGGAGGGAGTATGTGTCCCGGCTGGCTTGGGAACGCCTCGGGATCCCCCCAGAGGAGCTGGCAGGAGTGGCCGGGGAGAACGAAGTCTGGGTTTCCCTGCTTCGGCTGCAGCCCCTGCGACCCAACCCCAGATAAGCGATGGAGAATGGATGGATGGATGGATGGATGATAAGTTAGAAATGCTGTCTTTTCCCGACTATATTGTTTAATATTCAGTTAGCACAGGCAATCAGTATGCACGATAGACATTGTGGTCAACATCAACCTTGCAGGAAGGATACTTGAACATCTAATAAAGAGATGGTTGGCTGGGTGCCACATAAAGCGCCCAGGAATTATTGTCATCGGACAAGGCGCTGCTCGTTTTGGACACATTCATCATGAGAACTAACTCAATCCCTGCTGTGAGTCCAGGAGGTTCGACAAAGTCTCTGCAACCCTGGAAGACAGTGTGCAGAGGTCACCACAGCTCCAGATCCAGCTTCACCCCAGGATGAATGCTGATATTGACACAGTGTGTGAAGAAGCTCAACTGAGCCGATACTGAGGAAACTGAAAGACCCAATCTATAATTTTTCTGTTTTGTTAGACCAGGACCTATACATTCATGCTACAGTCACCTTTCAGAGACTGTTTAGTTTAGGAGACACCAGTGCTCCATGGTCGGGAAAATACGGTTACATCAAAGGGGGATACAGAAAATCTCCTACCTGGTTATGTTTTAACACAATGCAAGGGTCACCCAAAGTTTGAAGTCTCTTCGAGGTGGCTGCTGCAAGGCGTTGAGACACAATACAGGAGTGACATTCCCACCTCTTTTGATTGACATTATAAAATTTTGTCAAAAGGGGGATTGTTAGAATTTGGATATATTTACTCTGTGATGGGTAACATATTTCGATAGCGACTTTTATTTTTAAAGTAATTTCTCCGTTTGGGTATGATGTCACTTCCTGTAAGTTCCCATTTTCAGTTGTTCAAGGTGAAGGAGAGATGTTAGCTGAGCTCCCCTGAACTGTATCTTTCCATTTTGGTGTGGCATTGGCAGTGAGTACATTTATGTTTGTTTGACGGTAAAAAGGAAAGGTTAATAAGCAAATAAATAATTTAGTTTAACTTTGGATGATAAAGTTAGTTAGTTTGTGTGAAAATAGTAACACAGCGATTGTAATGAAAAAAATATGTGTGGTTCAACTAATTTAGCTATCATTGTGTGTACATTTTCTAATTAGCATGGAAGCTAGGCGAAATGTGGTATTTAGTTATCCATCTGTTTTACTTATTTATGTGGATGTTTGTGATGCTTGCCTTATTATTTCATGCTTATTTCATGTTTATACATTATTTAAGCTTACTCGCTGTATTTGTATTTATTTCAGTTTTACCTTCTTTTCAATAAATCTCGCTAAATACGAGACCTGCCTCTTCCTTGGGGGATTTGCTGAAGAGACGAGTTTAGCTGGCTGTTGGCTTCAAGAACAGTACAGTAAAATGGCAGCCTCTCACCAGAAGATGGAAGAAGGTGAAGAGGTTCAGCAAGAGCTTTCTGAGCAAGAGCAACTAAAGGACACTGATGCCCAGTCAATGAAGGTTAGATCCCATGTGTCCGGTTCTCACCGAAACCAAAGGCTCACGGGCTTCAGCAATTGGCTTGGCAGCTGCGCAGGCACGGGCAAATGCAGAAGCAGCTAAGGCTAGAGCAGCCTACAGTAGGAAAGAAAAATAACTAAAAATTGAGAAAGCTCGCCTTCAAGCTGAATTGGATGCTCTTCGTCACGACAGAGACGAAGAAGCAGCTATTGCCAAAGCACTCGTCATGGAAGCCGCGCTGATGAGGGAAGCTCTCGTGACAGCTTGGCAAGTTTTGAGTCATTACCCGCAAGACAGAATGTGCGAGAGAGTGTCAGCGAATATGTTGATAACCACGGTCACATTAAATATGACCATAATGAAGAAGGATTGGATTTAACCCCTCGATCACCACAGCTACCTGCCCAACATGCATACATGCATGGGCACAACGCTTCCACGCTAGCACAACCAAGCGACCTTCCAGACAATGGGATAGAGCAACGTTTTGGCCCACAGCAATTCAATTCAATTCAATTTTGTTTATATAGCGCCACATCACAAGAACAGTTGTCTCACAGCGCTTTCCAAACAGAGCAGGTCAGACCCTACTCTAGTAAGTTAATAACAGAAACCCAACAATTCCCACATATCTGTCAGCCACATATTCAGACTCCACATCACGCCCACATTCAGCCTCTTGTACAGCAAGCACGTACGCAGCCTCCTGTATCACACCAGATTGACAGAGACCAACGTGTGTCACAGCGTAACACCTCGTATTATCACTACTCACAAAGAGTGAACCTCAACTCAACTCAGAAGAGAGCCAGGGGTTAGATCTAGCACCCCACGCCATCCGCCCAGCCAGGATGTAAGCGGCAACATATCAGATCTAGCTAAATTTCTGATAAGGAGTTAACTGGTGTCAAGTGGACTCAGTCGCTTTGATGACCAACCCGAAAACTACCTCAGCTGGAAAGCAACATTCACCAATGTGTTACAGGGCTTAGATATATCAGCCAACGATGAAGTTGACCTTCTCATCAAATGGTTAGGCCCTGAGTCAAGTCAGTTAGCACGCAGGATGAAATTGGTTACCATCGGCCACCCATCTTCTGCTCTCACACTGATCTGGACCAGGCTGGAGGAACGATATGGAGCTCCAGAGGCCATTGAGAAGGCGCTGTTCACTAAACTGGATAACTTTCCCAAGATTTCCAACCGGGACCATCACAGGCTAAGTGAGCTGGCAGACTTGTTGCTAGAACTTGAAGCAGCAAAACAAGACAGGTACCTCCAGGGCTTAGCATACCTGGACACCGCAGAGGAGTCGCTCCCATTGTGGAAAAGTTGCCATTCTATATTCAAGAGAAATGGATGACATTTGGATCAAGGTATAAGGAAGAGAAAAGGGTTGCATTTCCACCATTTGTAGTGTTCTCTGATTTCATCAGAAAGGAGGCTAAGGCAAGAAATGACCCGAGCTTCAACACCTGCAGCTCAGCAGCACCTACCTGGAAAAAGGAAAGGACAGGAAACCTCAATAACAAAAACCAAGTCACAGTTCACAAAACCAACGTTTCCAAGGAAACAACAGAAAGCAGAACAAACCAAACAGAGGATCCAAATGTACATTGCCCAATACACAAGAAACCCCATCCTCTAAGAAAATGCAAGAGTTTCAGAGCAATGCTGCTCGACGACAGGAAAAAGTTCCTGAGGAACAATGGTGTATGTTTCCGCTGCTGTGCGTCAGTCTCGCACATGGCCAGGAACTGTGATGTTGTCATTAAGTGTGCAGAAAGCAACAGTGAGAAACACCTTGCTGCACTGCATCCAGGGTATACTCCAAAGGGACCTAAGGTGCAGAGCCCCTCCAAAGACCATGGCGGGGAGTCAAACAATCCGTCAGAGCAATAGCCCATGGCTATGTGGTCGAACCACTGACAGGAGAATTGAGCATCTCCCTTCCTACTCTGATAGAGTGCAACAATGTCCCTAACAATAAAGTAGAAATTCCCACTCCAGAGCCAGCATACCACCACAGCCACATGCAACGCATTGCTGACAGGATACCTGCTCTGGATGACTGCAGAGATTTGGCTGCTGTTAGGACGGGACATACTCCAGGTCCACAAAGTGCACCAGCAATACAATGGCCCACCGAGTGCACCCTTCGCCCAGAAGCACGACCTTGGGTGGGTGATTGTGGGCGACGTCTGTTTAAGTTGAGCCAACTCTCCGAAAACAGTGAGCACATTCAAGACATGCTTCATGGAAAATGGTCGTCCAAGCTGCATGGATGCTTGTCTGAATGTTGTCAAAGTCAAGGAAGACTTCAGTCAGAGCTCCAAGCAAGATAGCCTTTGGCCATGTCCTACAGTGCGACAAGAGGACCAACTGGGCAGAACAGTCTTCAGAAGGTCTGACAAGGACAATCATCTGGCACCATCTATTGATGATCTCACGTTCCTACAGCTCATGGACAAAGAGTTCGTCAGGGATGACAGCGGAAGTTGGATAGCCCCGCTGCCGTTTCGGACAGAAAACCACTCCCTAACAACAAGCGGTATGCTTACGAACGTTTTAAGTCACTGCAATGCAACTTCCAGAGACGGCCCAATATGAAGGAAGACTTCATTGAGTTCATGCAGGGGATTCTGGATAACCACCATGCAGAGCGTGCACCACCTTTAGAAGATGTAAAGGAAGCTTGTTACCTTCCTATTTTCGAGGTGTACTATCCCCAGAAGCCCGGGAAGATTCGGGTCGTGTTCGATTCAAGTACTAGCTTTGAGTGAGTGTCACTGAATGACGTCTTGCATCAGGGTCCCAACCTCAACAATAGCTTTCTCGGAGTGCTTCTCAGGTTCCGGAAAGACCCGGTAGCAATTAAAGATGTTCTACTGCTTCTTTGTGAAGGAGGAACACAGGGATGTATTACGCTTCCTGTGGTTCAAGGACAACAACCCTGAGAATGAGGTAGTGGACTACCGCATGACTGTCCATGTGTTTGGAAACAGCCCGTCCCCGGCAGTCGCAACCTATGGATTGAGAAGATCAGCTCAAGAGGGAGAGAAGGACTTCGGCAGTGACGTCCGTGAGTTCATCAAGACTGACTTCTACGTCGATGATGTCCTCCGGTCCTTCCCCTCAGGAACCGAAGCAGTGGATACCTTGACGCGAGCCCAGCAGTTGCTGAAAGGCTACAACATCAAGCTTCACTAGATTGCTTCCAACAAAGCAGACGTTAGAAGCCTTTCCCACAGATGATCGGGCCAAGAGCATCGAGGCTCTAGATCTGGCTGTTGATGACTTACCTGTCCAGCGCAGTCTAGGTGTTGCTTGGGACATGACTAAGGACACCTTCACATTCACCATTCCTGAGTCCCAGAAGCCGTTTACACGCAGAGGCGTTCTGTCCACAATTAACAGCTTATTTGATCCGCTTGGATTCTTGGCACCTGTAACAATCCAAGGCAGGTTCCTACTGAGATAACTAGTTTCCCAAGGTACAGACTGGGATATGCCATTACCTGATGAGAAGTTCCTCAAGTGGCAGAGATGGCAGGAATCTCTGCAGGAGCTGAATCAGCTGAACATCCCTTGCACTTATGCTTCCTTCCCAGTAACAACAGCAGAGTGCACAGAATTATGTGTCTTCTCAGATGCTTCAGTGAAGGCGATTGCAGCAGTAGCTTACCTTAGGGTAGAGGATGAGAATGGCCACACAGAAGTAAGCTTTGTGTTAGGTAAGGCCAAGCTTGCCCCTCTAGCGGAGCTCACCATCCCCAGACTTGAGCTTTGCGCAGCAGTGTTAGCTACAGAGATTGCAGACCAGGTCAAAGAAGAACTAGGCCAAGCATTGGGCAAGATCACATTCTTTACTGACAGTAAGGTGGTATTGGGCTACATCAACAACAGATCCAGAAGGTTTTATGTGTTTGTGAGTGTTATGTCCCCTGCCCCACCAATGGAAGGGAGGAGAGAACTTGGCACCCTTAATAAAGCGGAGTCTTTATAAAGTGCAAAAATATAAGGTTTATTGGTCTCCAAAAAAAGGGCAAGAAGGCTCAACAACTGTGGGGGAGAAGGGGGCCGTTAGGTTGTGCCAAATCAAAGAAATCAGCAAAACAAAACAATACCTCTGAAAGAAAGCAAAAGAAAAGGAAACCCTGCTACTCTGAGCTAACAAAGATTTATAATAATACAAGGGTGGCACCATCCTACTTACCTAGGGTATATAACAGAAATTCACCTGCGTGATGAAGGTGTACAGGGTACCCTAACTTACCTAGCCCACAATTTCCCACCACAAACCTTCAACCAAACTGTCACACTGGTAATCCAGCCTCTCAAAGAAATGCAAGTCCTGCCAGCAAAAGGCTACCCCTCGGACTCCAGGTGAGCTTCTTTTATCCTGCTTGGCCCACTCAGGGTAAGTGTTCCCAGCTTCCAGCTACCTGGGAAGGAAACAAAATGGAGGGGGGGAGGAAAACAAAAACAGTCCACCTGGACATGTAACAGTGAGTAATCGCGTACACCGGATCTGGCAGTCCAGTCACCCGAGTCAGTGGAGGTATGTTGCCACCAAGAGCAACCCGGCAGACCATGCCACAAGGTCAGTTTCGGCAAGCCAGCTGCAAGCAACCAATTGGTTTACCGGACCCAAATTACTGCCAGACAGCTCCTCATCACCTGACAATGACTTTCAGTTGATTGATCCGGATGTAGACCCAGAACTTCGTCCTCAGGCCACAACTTTCCTGACCAAGGTTGCGGAGACTCAGCTGGACTCGCTACGCTTTGAAAAGTTCTCTTCATGGGAGTGTCTGACAAGAGCTGTGGCACGTCTGAGGCACGTAGCCCAAAGTTTCTAAAACCCAGCACCTGACACAGGGTTTGTCGGATGGCATCTCTGCAAGAAAGGAGTAACAGCTTCAGAGATCACAGCCGCAGAGCACGTCATCATCAAAACTGTGCTTGCTTGCTGTTGTCCATCGCATACGATGATGACGCCCACTTCTGTCCTTATTTTCGGTGAGTCTTCTGATGGCTAAACAAGCCAATTCTGGATCCACAAATTTTATTGGAAGAGGGGCATGTGTATGTGGTATCTGAGTCGCTGGCAGTGGCTTTAACATTTCTTTTCTGCATTTTTAAGTGCCTCTTTGCTGTTCTCTCCATTTCCAGGCTTTCAATCCCCTGCTGACAGAGTCGTGCCCAGTTGTTTCTATTACTTGCTAGGTCCTCTAGCTGCTCTGGCCTTATGTTGCATTTCTTAAGCACATTCTTTAGTTGGTCTTTATATCGCTTCTTTTGCCCTCCTACAGATCTTCTGCCATGGAGGAGCTGGCCATACAGCATTTGTTGAGGGATTCTGGTACTGGGCATCCTGATAACATGCCCCTCCCACCGCAGTTGGTTTCTTCCTATAGAAGCCTCTATGCTTTGGCAACGTGTCCTCTCAAGGATTTCCGTTTGAGGTACCCGATCACGCCAGGTTATGCCTAAAAGTCGCTGAAGACACCTGATGTTAAACTGTTCCAGCATCTTAACGTGGCGCCTATAGGTCACCCACGATTCACAGCCATGTAGGAGAGTGGTGACACACACAGCCTGATATACAGACTCTTTAGTGCAGAGATGGAGGTTTTTATTTTGAAAGACTCTGCGCCGTAGTCTCCCAAAGGCAGCTGAAGCTTGATTTATTCTGCTCTGGACCTCACAGTCAATGGTGTTATCTTCAGTGAGAATGCTACCCAGGTACCTAAAAGATGGAGCTAATTTTAGTTCTTTATCACAGACCAAGAAGCTTGGTGGTGTGGATGGGTTGTTTGTTATTTAACACACAATCTCAGTTTTAGAGGTGTTAAGAATCAATCACAGTCGCCTGTAGGCATTCACTGATGCTGTGAGAACTTTCTGGAGATCTTGTGGAGTATGGGCAACTAGAACACAGTCATCTGCATATTGCAGCTCAAGCACTCTTAATTGCTTTGCTTTGGTGGCTGCCTGGAGTCTCCTGATGTTAAAAAGATTGCCATCCAATCCATAGATAAAGGGGATTACACTGTTGTCTTCCATCTCCTTGTGTAGTAGCTGGGTGACGCATAATAAGAAGATGTTGAACAGCACAGGTGCTAATACACAGCCTTGCCTGACACCAGTACGTACAGAGAAGGGTGGAGATTCTTGTCCACTTACTGTGACTCTGACAGCCATGTTATCATGGAACTGCCTTAAAAGGGACACAAACCTAATTGGACATCCAAACTGGAGTAAAATGCCCCATAGTAAGTTTCTATGCACAGTATCAAATGCCTTCGAGAGATCCAGAAATGCCATGTACAGATCTTGATGTTGCTCCCTGCACTTTTCCTGAAGTTGCCGGGCTGTGAAGACCATGTCAACTGTGCTCCTGTTTTTTCGAAAACCACACTGCGATTCAGGTAGCATTTCTTCTGTGATGTAATCAGTTAATCTTCGCTGCATTGTTTTGCAAGGACCTTTCCACCAACAGAGAGAAGTGATATACCCCTGTGATTTCCACAGTCTGCTTTTTCACCTTTGTTTTTATATATGGTGACAATATTTGCATCCCTCCATTGCTGTGGAATGTTTTCATCAGTCCAAACCTTAATGATGAGATTATGTAATGCACGGAGACAGAGGTAACCTCCTTGTTTGAGCAACTCTGCTTGAATGTTATCTGGGCCAGGGGACTTGTTATTTCTTAAAGATTGCATTGCAGATAGGACTTCTTCAAATGTTGGGGTTTGATATAAGTGGCTGAGGGTTGGACGTGATGGTATGTCCTCCAGTATGGTACAGTCAGCTTGTGAGTCCTCATTTAGCAAGGTGTTAAAATGGTCTGCCCACCTCTCCAAGATGCTGCTCTGGTCTTTTAAGATTTCAAATCCATCTGCTGATTTTAAAGGAGTAAGGCGATGGCATATAATTTCTATCAGCATAGGTCTGGATCTCTTGCGCCTTTTCTGTCCATCACTTATTTTGCATATTTCTCAGAGTCCTCTGCACCACTCTTCGAGTTTTGCGCCATTGTTCGTTGGCTTTGCTACAGCTGGGATTTTTGAAGACTTCTTGATGCGCTATGTGCATGATGTTTAAAGAGTCCCGGATGTCATCTGAGTTGTTATCAAACCAATCTTGATGTCTTTTACTCTTATGTCCGATTGTCTGGACAGCAGCTTCCTGAAGGGCCAGGCTAAGAGCAGTCCACTGTTGGTCTGTGGTATCATCACTGTTGAAAAAGGAATCTATGTTGCCTAGTTTTTCAGCCAAGGAATACCGAAACTCACTTTTTCGGTTGTCATCTTCTAAAAGGGCGCAGTTTAAGCGCTGTGATGTCGATCTGCTTTTACGCACAGAGGGTTGGATTATCATGTGTGCCTTTGTCATAACCATGCGATGGTCTGTCCAGCAATCTGCACCTCTCATGGCTCGCATTATGAGGATATCCATGGTGTCACACTGCCTCACGATGATGTAATCGATCAGATGCCAATGCTTCGAGCGTGGGTGCATCCATGATGTTTTGTACTTGTTTTTTTGTTGGAATAAGGTGATTACCAGATTGTGTTCAGAGCAGAAGGTTAAAAGCCTCATGCCATTTGAATTGGTTTAACCAATCCCATGCCTGCCAAGAACTCCTTTCCATACCTCGCTGTTTTGCCCTACACGAGCGTTAAAGTCTCCAATGAGAAAGATCTTGTCACTCTTTGGTATTCTATTGAGACACTCATCCAGTGCTTGGTAGAATGAATCTTTTGCCTCTTCACCAGATGTTAATGTTGGTGCATACACGATTAGGAGAGTGGCAAAACGGCTCTTAATCAGGTAAATGCGTAGGGACATCAGTCTTTCACTAATACCTACTGGTGTTTCAGGTAGTCGTGGCAATAGTGTTTTTTTATGGCAAATCCCACACCATGCAGATGTAACTCTCCTGGGGGATAGCCCTTCCGGAAGAAGGTGTATCCCTGTTATGGACCCTTCATCAAGTAGTCTGGTTTCACTCAGAGCAGCTATGTCAATGTTATACCTGCCCAACTCAGCAGCAACCAATGCTGTTCATCTGTGTGGTCTATCAGTCTTGCCATAGGAGTCCTGAAGAGTCCGAATGTTCCATGCTGCCAGCTTCAGAAATAGCATTTTTTCTGTGTCGACCGCTGAAAAGGAATGACCCGATAGGCGCGGTAACCTATCCAGGTGTCTGAAGAGTGGGCATTTTTTAGGCCACCTTTTCTAGGCCCTCCCTCAATTTGAGGTGAGCAGTGCTACCCTAAATAGGGCTGCTCAGTCACACAGGGGTCTGCCGAGAGCAGTATCCACTCTTAATCTACTGCTAGTGACCAATACCCTGTGCCGCTGATGTGCAGGGTACTGACTAGAGGCTTCCAGTTCACTCACACCTGCCTCTGTCATCAGTCTCCCAGTCGCCATCAGTCTTCAACCCGGTGTAGGTCACTACTATGTGAACTGCACAAGAGCAGTTCACATAGAAGTGATTGAGACAGTGAGTGACTCAAGCTGTATCAACGCCCTTCGCAGGTTGTTTGCAATTAGGGGACCAGCGAAACCGCTCTGTTCCGATCGAGGAACCAACTTTGTGGGTGCCAACTCAAACTTGAATGCTTCAGCGGAAGCTGAGGGACAAAGTGTGAGTGCTTACCTGTGCTCTCAGAAGTGCACCTGGGTCTTCAACCCGCCGCATGCCTCCAACATGGGTGGAAGCTGGGAACGCATGATAGGTACGGCACGTCGCATCCTTTTTTTTATTTTTTTTATTTTTTTTATTTTTTATTTTTTTTTATTTTATTTTTTTTCTTTGTCCTGTTCAGCATTATGGTAGTAGAACTGAAATCTGCGTACCGTGCAATGCTGAGCAAAATTGCTTTGCCAAGGGAGGCTTTGTTAGTTAGAAGCCCCCCTTGATTACCCAAAACTTCTTTATTTATTCATTTTTGTTACCAAACTTCCATATGTCCAATAATACCGAACCTGACAGAGGGACAGGGGGGAGGGAAG